CAAAAGTGTAAGGTGGCACCACGAATAAGCGACGCTTTAGTGAGTGAATGAGCTCAAATCCTCATTTGTTAGTTTTGCAGCAAGGAAAAATTCTGATCAAACATTTTAGTCTACAGTTGTATTTTGTGCCAAGAGCTAAGTCTTTATTCTGAATGATAAAGATGTAGTTTATGTTGGAAATATTGTTGCACAGTATGCCAAGATTTTATTAACGTTGCACTTGTGTGTGAAAGTTGCGGAAAATGAGGCAATTGTAAATTTTATCATTTTGACATCTGAAGACTTCAAGCTGATTCAAATTTACTAAAATATCTTTTTCTTTAATGATGTCTGTTGAAGTAAAGAGTGTAGTTTAGAGTTCTAGGTTTGTCCATCTAAGTTCTGTACTCAGATATGGAGATGAGGCTGCCAAACACATGTATGGAATTGGGATATCGTAGAAACATTGTCTTATGTAGAACAACATGATTTCAAATGAGATAATCTGTGGTTAGGCTATAATTTTACAAATTATGGGCCACTGGTGAATGTGATTTCTGTGTCTCCTGTTATGTAATTTTGAACCTATGATTTTCTTCTTGCTATGTTTAATTAATCAAGGCTATCATGTCTCTGGTATTTCAAACTTTTCAGTCTATTTGATAGACATTTTCTATTCCTCTTTATTTTTTTTATGGATTTGTTCATTTATTAGAATCTACAAACAAAAAGGGAAGGTTTTTCATGTTTTGTTTGCCAGTACAAAATAATTCAGAAAATGACAGTTTGAAAATCATAGAAGCAACTGAAACTCTCCATATCTGTGCACTGAAACTCCAGATTTCCTGAAGTTTTAAGAAATGCTCTTGACTTTACATTCCACTTTTTTTCTCTTTTAGAATAATCAAATGGGTTAAAGGGAAAACAGAAATGATAGTGTTGTTTCTTCATAATTTTAGGGACTACTTTTGAAGATAAAGTAATGAAAAATATTGAGACACCAGATTTATTTAGAAAGCTGTAAAAGATTTGTGTCATACACAATGGTGTAATTATATCTAGTGGTAGCTCAAACTTAAACTCAAACTTGAACCAGGCAAAAGGAAAGCAATGTGTGTCAATGTATTCTCAAACTGTATTGTATGTTTTCCCTTCGGAAAGCAAATCTCAGTTAAAATGTTTGTGTTTCCTTTGTGTCTCTGGTTGTTCATTTTGTTTTATAGACTTCTTTTTAAACACTGTCTCAAAAAAGCAAATACCTTTCTCCAATGCACTACTAACATTGTGTTTTCCAGGACCCATTTCTTGTTACCATTTTGGCCTCTAGGCCATAAAATTTTATGCTTCTTGTCAATATAGTACCGTTATATATTTGTGTGGAGCCAATATTCCTAGTCCATACCTTTTGTGAAATCTCTTTTCACCATGGCTCCAGTTAATTTTGGAAACTACGTTCTGAAATTTCTATGTTCAGGTCTCCAAACAATCTAAACTTCATATTTTTGAATGAATCTTGTTTACCATTATGATCATAAGGGCCTCAAGGTCAGCGAAAACTCAAATTTTCAGTATTTTTGTATGTTATTTCCTTTTCTTTGAAGTTTACAGATTTGTGGACTGTTGTCGTATCACAGGCTCGTACATAGAAGTGTTTTTCTTGGTGAAATTTTGAAATGAATGTTTGTGCATTTTTACTGATCAATATTTAAAAAGAGAATGAGGGGGGATGTTGTGTTCAACTCAGCATTGTGTAATATTTGCCATTTTTGTTCTCTGATTATGCGTAGCCAATTTTGACATTTCTCTGTTGGGCGCCGGAGAGTGCAAAATAGCTAATGACTAGTCTCATGGCAAAGATGTCAGGAGCTATTGTTGCCCTGTGAGGCGAGCCTGTGTTTTAGTGTAAGTGTGGTTTGAAA